CGTTTATTATCGTAGTTGCTTAAAGCATATTTAGTCTGATTAATGCTATAGATTTGATGGTTTTTACTTCTGATCGTGTTAAAACTGACTTCTTCTTTACAGTTTCTATTCAATGTCTCGTCATAGGTTTTGTAACTTAACTGATTGCTCACTTTATGCTTGACTACTCCTTTACTTTTCTTGTGTTCTTTCTCGTCACCATAGACTTTATAACAATATGCCTTTGGTTTCAATCCTATAAAGTGAGTAATTATTTTACCGTTCATTTCACCCTTGAACTTGCCTAATACCTTCTTATTTGTTTTGTCATAGTTTGGATGTTCTACATTATAATCACTAAAATCCATATATTCATTAATCTCTTTGAAGTCTTCATATAAGTCATCAGTCTCAACTTTGATTACATAACTATCAGTATCAGTATAGACCAATTTAATATTATCTTGATGTTTTGGTTTCAAAACATCATAATAGAAGGAATACATGTGAATTTTAGAATAGTCTAAAATAGACATACCCATATAGATAGGTTTGCTTAGTTCCACTGTGTGTTTATCTTTTTCAACAATTACAAGGTCTTCATTTATGATATGTCTGTGCTTGAATCGCGGTTTATTTACCAGTTTTTGGAAGCGTTCAGGCGTATGGACAATTTCAAAATCACCATGCTTTCTTACATTCTCCATGGTCTTGCCGTATACGCTATTATTCATTAACTTAAACAAATCTTTTTCAAAGTCATTGTTGGCATTCTTTCTCTTTTCCGTGTTGAATTCAATGAATGGTTTTAAGAAGTTTGCTTGTTTGAAACTTATTGCTCTATGGACTTTTTTAAGACGTAATCCGTGTTGGAGATAGAATTTCAATGCTGATATGTGCAAAACATATTTCTTTTTATCCATTACATTTAATACTAACTTATTTGTCTTTTCATCACTGGCATCTTTTCCATAAAAGTATTTGTGTATATCCTTCTGGACTTTTGAAAGCATATTCTCATTGATACACATGATTTCAGGTGCTAGTGGGTAGTCTTTATGTAAATCATGAAGTTCCTTTGGGTAATCTAAATCAACTTCTAATATACATCCTATGTCATCATCATCACTATATTTCATTACTCTCTTTTCATCCATTCTACCGCAATACCATTTAAAATCATCATAAGGCAGTTTCTTACACATTGCTAATCCGTAAAGGTTATTAGCATCTAAATAACTTATGTATGATGAAGGTTTAGATTTATCATAATCTTCATTCATGTATCTATTGTTTGCTTCTACCTTCTTGAAGGAGCATTGTGTCATTCCTCCTCTTAATCCTTTTTCAATCATCTCATACATTTCTTTTATGTGGATTTGTTGAAGTATAACTCCTGTTAATGATAAAAAGGCATTCCAAGAATAGTTAGGTAAAGTGATATAATATGCTGGGTCTAATCCATAATAGTTTAAGCACATGTCCCTAAAATTTTCAAATACATCAGTTAGTAAATATACATCAGTCATCAAATATAAATCATGGTATTCACCAAGGTTTTTAATGTCAAAATGTTTCCATACGATATTTGCTCTGGCGTAGTCTTTGTCAGTTATGTTTTCTTCATATAATTTACTGTAAAAATCTTCCTTTTTTGGTAGTTTTGTTTCATCGAATTTCTCCCATGAGTTCATGTAGTCATAGGGATATACCCCTTTCTCAGTTAGTAAATTCAAATCAGTTTTTGATTTAATGTATGGGTTAGTGCTTGTATATCTAAAACGAGTTTCCCAGTTTTTAATCTTTTCATTTCCTTCATATTTGTTCAGTCTAACTAATTTATCTAATGATGCTGTTAAGAAAGCAAAACTGTCTTTAAACTGACAAGCGCCAAATGAAAAGGTTATGAACTTTTCGCTGTTTTGTGCTATTACATCTATTCTTTTGTTTTGGTTTAGTTCTATGTTTAGTTCATTTGCTTTTGCTATGATTAAGTGAGCGTCATAATTTTTAAGATTATGAAAGAAAATAGGGATCTTAAAATACCTAAATGAATAATCCAAACTACATTTTACATACGCCGCGCCTCTGTATTTGCCTGTGAAGTGGCAGTGGTCTTGGACTTTTGTATCATCAGGTTGAAATTTCTTATTACATATAGAGCAGTGGGTCGCGTTTCTAAATTCTGTCTTTTGTTCGTAAGATAATTCATCCATTGGTCTATTAACATTCATCTTTTCAAATATATCTTTCTTAATTTCAGTCAGTTGTTCTACAAACTTTTTCATACAATCCTCACCTCTGTATAAGTATGGTTGGCATGTATTATCAATCCTGCTTACTACATTCAACATATAACCGCACGGTTTATGTTCCTGATATGTGCCTTTTATACCATTGTTAGAGCTAGTGGTTGGACATTCAAAATCACCATAGATTACAAAAGGACAAGGCAATTTGGTATTATGCTTTTGAAATTCTATGTAAGTGTCTTTATCAGGCATCTTTGTTTGTTGTCCTTCTGATGCCATACATCCCTTTTCAAGATGGTTCCTATATGCCTTTTCTGATGAGAAAGGGTTTAAGCAATGATGGCAGTAGTGTTTCTTGTTGATATTTTTGTTGCTTTGGCAGTTAAGTAATCTACTTTATGTTTTTCACTAATACATAGTGATAGTTATTACCTTTATCATAGACTTTTAATAAATCAATTTCATATTTAGCATTTCTATTTTTAGTGCCTCTATGTATGATTATTTTATTATCATTTAGGCAGTCATCAGTTTCAAAAACATTTATTGAAATTAAGTTGTTGTTCTCTTCAAATCTGTCTATGTCCCTATTGCAAGTTGGAAATTTTACACCATCCCAGTTCAAAATATCATCGTTTAGTTTATTATAGTGGAACATTTCCTCTGGGTGATGTTTGCTAATTTTGTCATAGACTACGGATTGAATACAGTATTTGAAACATTTTTGGTCTTTATTTTTTATGTTGATACAAGCTTTCTTTGATTTAATCCATTCTGGTAATTCTATAAAACTGCCTGCTCTTGTTGGGTCAAATTTGTCATAGTGAATAGTTATTGATAAAATTTTTCTAAATCTTAAATTAGATGTTGAACCTTCCAAATTTTGTATTTGTAATCGGATTTGAATAACACTATCTTCTAATGCTTGTGTCAGTTCATATTCATTGTGAATTGGATGATATGTTGATGGTAAAGCATATACAAGTTCTTGACTTCCTAATTCATTTCCTCCATCATCATATTCAGGTTTTTCAAATAATCCTTCCGTTCTTATGTTAAGTTTCATGTTTCTATTATTGCTTAAAAATTCTGATAGTCTTTGCTTTTGGTGAGCAATCATTTCTAATCCTCTTTCTCCTTGAAAGTGCTTGTTTTCTAAAACTATTGAATTAGCATATCTTCTAAATGCTGATTGAATATCTCTGACCCTAAATTTATTTCTTATTGCGTGTTTGGTTATTAATTGTCTAACCCTTTCTCTACTTACAACATCTGTTGCCTTTTTCATAGCATAACTTCTGTATTCATTAGTGTTCTTTACTGATAGTAGTTTCTTGGTCAAGACATTTGATATGGGTTTGTCTTTGTTGTATCTGAATTTCCTGTTGTCTATGATTATGGACTTCAATTCTTTCCTTCCTCTCTTTGGTATTTCTGCTAAATCCTTACTCAATAAATAGTCTATATTTTTTTTCATCATATAATAGTATATATTTTATTTAGTTAATTTATCTTTAAGTAGTTTTCAAAAGAATGCTTTATTTTCATCATAGAATATATACTTAAAGAATAGTTATTTAAGTATATTAGTGGGATGGATTGTGTGAAGGATTTACCTGTTGATGTGTTGAGTAAAATTGATTCGGAAAAAAATTGGAGACCCGAAATATTTGAAAGTAAAGTATAGTGAAGCATTGAAGAGAATACAGCACAATATAAAATATCAAGACTTGGTCCTAAAATAACAAGACATTTGAAATCAAGAAAAAACATATATCATTAAATACTGTGTTATGAGAGAGGGAGTGCCATTTAGTTTAAAAAGTATAGAAGACATAATAACAGAAGAAAAAGAAGACTTATGAAGAATTATTATCTTTAATTTATGAAGAAGTAGAAGATGATGTAAATTATAGAGTTAAACTTGATATTGAAGTTCAACTAGTGGCAAAACTCCCAGAAAAGGAATATGGAGAAAATGAATTTAGTTATAGAGAGATTTATTTTATGAATGGCTTTGATGAATATGTAGATAAAGATAATATAGATTATGTATTAGATAAAGCAGTTGAAGAAATACAGGAAGATATAGATGAAGACTATGATAAAGATAGTATAATAGGAATACAAGCATTTCATTTTGAATTAGTAATTATTGAAGTCATTTACTACTTACATAATTTTAATGATAATATTATTAGAGTTATGGGTTTGTAAGATAGGATTATTAAAGACTAGTATCTGTATTGTTGTCTATTGTTTTGTTTTTTATGTTGCGCTTTGCTTGGTTTGTTTTTTTTGTTTGTTGTTTGGTTGTTTTGGGTATGGAATGGATGAGGTGATGATGTATTGACTGTGATGATTTCTATAAAATGGATGAGGTATAGAGATTGTAGGTTGTTTTGATTTATGAAAATGAATGAGATGATGATATGGTTAGTAGTGATGATTTTGTGGAATGAATGAGGTAATTGTGGTTAGTTGTTATGTTTTTTTTGCAAATAATTATTGAGTTGTTATACTGCTATAATTTGAATTTATAAAACTTCTTTGGACTAATGTTTTTAACATTTTTTAGGGGGGGGGTGGAGAGACGGAGGACGGGACCATATATATATATATATATGTAGGTGCATATACATAAGCATACCCCCAAATCTGCTGGTTTCTCATCATTGTCCCCGTTAAAATGGCCTTTTCACTGGAAGGTATCTGGTGGATTCTGATGGTATCCCCATTTTCAGACTCAAATCATCTCAGTCCTCAAGCCTCCAGGTCCCAACGGTTCACAAAGTCTTGACCGACACTCAAGGCACCTGATGAACAGCCGACTTCCCTGCTTTGGGATGTCTGCTTCGTGATTGAGACATGTTCCACAAATCTTTCAGATAGAAAAGTGGGGATCTTATTGACATCTTCAAACACTTGAAAACACCAATCCCAAGGGGACCACCGATCAATTCTCTTCAGCCTGAGTTGAGCTGGAGCATCCGTCTGGCAAATCACCGAAATGGGGAAGACATGTCAGCAAACACAAACAAATGGCAAAACATTCCATTCCAACAGTTTTTTCCTGGTTATGTAACTATATATATATGTATATACACACTATAATGCGGGAATTAACATAAACATGTATAGCCATGATATTGTGGCAATCTCGTCAACCAGGAAACACACAAAAGCAAGGACAACTCATCATCAAGGCACTGATCAGCGAGTTGTAGCTGATAAGGTTCCTTAGGGTTTTCGATGGCGGTGAGACACACTGGCTGGACATGTTGTCAATGTATTTCTGGACCAAGAATGATAAGTCATTGTGGGAATGTTTTTGGGGATGTTTCGGGGATGATATCAGCATGTTTTTTTTTGTTCGTTTTTCGGTCACATGCTTCAAAAGGTTATTTTGGTGTGAGTCTGTCTTAATAACCAAATTCATGGTGAGATCTGCTTATGAGTTGCCGAAAGCGTCTTCAGTATATGGAGTGTGATCTAAGGGTATCCACCAAACGATCTCAATGATCTCAAAGATCTCAAAGGCCGAGATTCAAACGGATCGACTTGGACCATGCATGAGATCCTGAAGCGTTAAACCGTTAAACAGTCCAAAATTGGTTTGGGTTTGCCCAAGTTGGACCCACAACCGGAGATTGAACTTGAGCAATTCAGAAACCATGTTTTTGTATCTGTATAACTATGACTATGATTAAATATAGGAGACTGCACATGCAAACAAATCAAACAGTGACATATGACATAACCATACATAACCCGTATCGTAGACAAGTACGGAAACATGGCAATATCACAAAGAAATAACACAGCAAGTTTCAGAAGCATTTTCTACATGTGTTTACATATCTACCATCACAACTGATTGAGTGAATCCACGAGTATCTGAGTATAAGACTCTTCATCCCTATTTTTTTTGGATTTTCTTGGGACATCCCAAAAAAACCATAGATTCCCTGGCCCATAGCCGCCATAGCCCTGCCTAGCTGCATGGCCACCTCCCAACGATTGGCACTGGCGCAAGCGCTTAAGGCGCTGTTCAGGGCGATGACGTCTGGGTGAACGGGTCCTTGCCACATCTGGGACCTGGGATGACCAGAAGGATGTGGGCCAAATGTGAACGGCTACAGTAACACACAGTAACTACTAGCCAGCTTAGCCAGCTTACTTTCCACTTGAAACAGAACGCCCGACAATACAGAAGAAGGAGCATCACTACTACAATCAATTTGATTACCTAATATGTTTCTGTGACAAAATGATGGGTCAAGAATGACACGTCCATAATTAAGATCCATCGAAGTTTGTTGAATCCCGGGTCTGCGTCAGTCAACAACCCGATGGGTCGATGGTCGTCAAAGACACAATAGATGCACTGCCATTTCCCAGCAATTTGCCTCACGGTGATGGCAATGGTTTCTGCCACTGCAACAGTCTGCAACTCACCATGGCTCAAAATCTAAATTTTTGAAACCGCAAAATAAGATTGTTTTATACTGCGGCGAAATCATGCACTTTGATACACTTGGTGGATTTGTGAGTGCCCAGTCTTTTGGCACCGTTTTTTGATTACCCGCACCTTTTGGCACATGGAAAAAACTCAGAGGTGAACTCTGCGCCTGCTCACAAGCTGACATGGTGGCTGTGAAGGAGACGACGTTGGGCGCTGGTCCGTGCGCTTGTTGATGCTGAAGGATGCTCACAGCCTGTCATGGTTGGGGCGACGGGGCCCAGAAATCCCCGTTTGGAGAGGAACCCCTACCATTGATATCCATCATACGTTTGCGCATTCCTGATCACATCTCATGGCCGAAAAACGGCCCCTTGCAGAAGTTGGATTGATGAATTTCCATCCAGCTATCTGCGATCAACAGCAATCTTCCAAAGCCACAGTGGAAGGTGGCCGGCAACACATCCAGTGGACCCTCATCCCAACTGGGTCCTGCTGCCATTGAGAACAGGAGTCACAAGAAGAGATGACCTTGGCCACACGCGGCCACACGATCCGTGGGATCACTGGCGCTTGAAAGAATTTCAAAACAGCAAAGGAACATACAAAAAGTATCAAACAGTTACAAACTGGTGTGGCAGAAGTGCTGCGAACAGGAACATGACTCAAATTTGGGGTGAACCGAAAAACTTTGACTTGCCGATCTTTGGTTCAAAAAAAAGACAGTCAACCACACGCAAAAATGGACCAACTCGATATCCTAAGTGTTGTTTCCACATTTCTTGGCACCCATATAAGTAATTCCTGGTGTGTCTCAAAATGGGGCAAACACCAATTTTGATGGGAACATTATGACAATCCATTGGAATTTGGGGGTTCCAAATTCTCAGACAGACTCATGTTGTGTGAGTATGGCAACGGACATTTCCCCATCTAAGTATATCTGATTTAAGTCCCATTTATAGATTATGATGTTTCAATTAAGGCATCCCTATACTATAGGGGATGCCCCAGCCATGTTTGATCACCACAGGCTATCGGATGGTCTTCCAAGCAGCGGCCCCACAGATTGCCACTTCCTCTGACACGCCTTGCTGCTGCAACCTGGACATGGACCGACAATGGATGATTCTCTGGTAAGCCATGTCCCATAATAATAATAAGAATAATAATAATAATAATTATTATTATATATTTTATTATTGTAATATATATATATGCAAGATCATGAGTGATCTGCATGTCATCAACGAGCATCAGCTTGTTTCCAACATAGCGCTCCAACCGAGCTTCTTGGATCGAATGAGCAGGGAAGAAAAGTGAGGACCGCCACGTGTTGCCAAGCCACACCATTTGGTCCATAGGCCCCTCTTTCCAGTTCCAAGTGCTAGGGCACTACTGCTTCTGTGAAGGCTCCCGCATGGTAGCGGAGCCATAGGCTCTTGAGAAAAAGGTGTAGCTCTCACCGCGTTGCCGTGAGAGAAGAATGGGAGAAAGAAGTATGAAGCAAATAGAAAGGAGCAAGGATGGGGTGCCTTGCTGGGATGGGGATGCCTCAACGTATCAAGAATACGCTGAGTTGGCGGCACTGTGGGAACAGTCAGTGCCGTACCACAAGAGATACTTGTGCGGCCCGAAGCTCGTGCAGGAGCTTTCAGGCACAGCTCGCCGGTTTGTGCTCGCCAAAGACCCAACATGGGTGAGCTTTCCCGGCGGTGTGCAGGTCCTGCTGGACCACCTGAGGCAGCATTTGGGGCTCCCTCAGATGTCCGAGATGAGCGACTTCATGGCCAAGTACTTCCGCAACAGCCGCCGGCACAAACATGAGACCATGAATGACTACATAACCAGAAAGGCTGAACTCTACTCCCGTGCAAGCTATGCACTGGCCAGAGTTCAGCAAAGATATGAGCCCACCAAGTCCGCGACCAGGTCTCGTGGCTGGTCGGCAGACCAAGGAAGACTGCCACCTCACTCAAGTTCGAGGACTACCAGTGAGATTCATGAAGCACCAGATCCCACAGATCTTCCACAACCAGGTCTGAGGCCTCAGGTGCCTCATGTGGAGGATTGGCTCCGTGACGATGATGAAGAAGCACCAGGGACAGACCCCTGGGCACGATACTCGGGCTGGCATCACTATGATGACTGGAAGCACTCCGGGTATGACTATGGGGATTCCTCATGGAAGTGGCAGCCTGCAGAGCATGCTGCCCCCAGCTCTACCAGTGATGGCCCTTGGGGAAAAAGGGCCTTCGACCTTTTGCCAGACTTCGTGCAAGGATGGTTCCTTCTCCAAGATGCCAACTTGGAGACCAATGAGAAGAACATGATTCTGGCAGCCATCAAGAATGACTTTTCGGTCCAACGAGTAGCACAAGAGTTGCGCAACCAGTGGTGTGACGCCGACCTCAAGCGTCGCGACCAGTCTCAAAGAGGCTCAGCTTGGGTGATGGATGAACCTGAAGTAGCTGATGAAGACTGGGATAGCCCAAGTTATGCAAACTTGGTCAACATGGGCCTCAACGAAGAAGGCCTTGCAGCTATGGAAGCAGCTGAGGATGAGGCCCAGGATGCCATGGCGGCCATGGAAAAGAACCGGCGTACTCTTCGAGATGCCCGAGCCCGCCAGCACTTTGTCAAGATGAGCAGGCAGTACTACAAGAGTAGTGAACGGGTGCGACAAGGAGAACGTCGAGACCATGACCATTAGGGCACCATCAAGTGTCTGCGATGCGGTGGACCCCACAAGGTGGCTGTGTGTCCCAAGAAGCACCAAGACCAAGCGTCAGTGACCACGACGTCAGAGGCAGCACCTTTTGTCTGCTTTGCTGATCAGACTGAGAATGAGCAGGCCTGTGTCTCCTCAGCTTACATCACCACCCAGCAGGCCATGAACCAAGGAAAGGCAGTGCTGGATGGTGGAGCAACCAAGACCTTGGCTTCAGTGACAGCCTTGGAGCGCATCATGGAATTGAATGTGAACAAGACTGGAGGCCATGGAATCCAGGATGTCAATGTGGACGACCGGCCAACCTTCGGTTTTGGCAACAGCTCAACGGAGAAGTGCATCTCCACGGCAAACTTGGGTATTGCCGCTGGTGGTCGACAAGGGGTACTGAGAGTGCACACAATTGACAAAGGGGAAGGCCCCTTGCTGTTTTCCATAGATGCCCTGCGTAGCTTAGGTGCTGTCATAGACTTTGAACAAGATCTGGCGGTTTTCCGCCGTCTGGATGCTCACCAAGTGATCAAGTTGGAACGTTCCAATACGGGACATCAGCTGCTGCCCCTCACTGAGGATTTGTTTGCTCAGGCAGTGAAGTCTGAGCGACCGGTGCCGAGCTTGAAAGAATATCTGTAGGGACATCACCTCCCTGGCGTTGTCTCTGCCGACAAAAGGGAGGACTCTGAAATTGTAGCAGATTCGAATTTCAAGCACCAACTCAGTGCACCGGGACAGAACCAGAGTGAATCACATGCGGTTTGTGAGAGTGTTATTCCTCCTTGTGATTTTGTTTTGGGTAGTGATGTTGATGGTGTTTGTCTTGAGAAAGCCAGCCCTCATGAACCATTTCCACATACACAGCACAATCACACATGCACAAACATACCATCAACTTCTGTCACCACCTCAGCTCATGTTGTGTCCTTAGACTCACCGGTTCAAGCTGCTGGAAGTGACTGCCCAGTCCACCACACTCAGGAGGATTTCGATCATGCCTCGACCAACCAAGGCAGAACTGATCCTGGCCATGGCGGAGTTGGGCGAGGTGCCTCCGAAAGTGTGGTCTCAAGTGGAGATTGCAGCCCGCCTCGACGAGCTGCGGGCAGAACGTGGCATGCCGCCACTCGATGCTCCCAGCCGCGAGGAGAAAACGCCTCTCCGCAAGATGGTGATTGCCCTGAACCAAGCTGCCAAGCGCAAGGCCGACCTGCAGGTCTTTGCCACCCAGAGCTTGGGGTTGTCTCAGATCTCCAACGACACCATTCCCTTGCTGCAGAAGAAGTGCCTGCTCAAGATCTACCAGGACACGCCAGCCTCAGGCGAGGACCCAGTGGGGTTCGGTCGCCACTCGAGCCTGACGTACCAGGAGGTTCAGGTCCACCATCCGGACTATGCCCGATGGGTTCTCCAGACCAGCGAGGACGAGTGCGATCCTCGCCTGAGCCGCCTCGCCGGCTGGCTGCAGAGCCAAAGCCAAGTCAAGGTGGAGGTGAAGACCGAGGGATTGCCAGAGCCCATTCCTCAGTCTCTGTTGGTAGAGAAGGGATACCTGAAGCCTGGGATGATCAAGATGAAGACCGAGGGATCTCAGAAATACTCCACCTCCGACAGTGTGTCAAGCTCCCAGCTGGAGCGAACGAATATGATGATCGAACAACTAGCCTGCATGATGGGCGAGATGAAGGAGGAGCTCTCGGAGATGAAGCAAGAGCGCCCCCGGAAGGAAGTGAAGGGCAGTGCCTCCACGGCGAACGGCTCTTTCAGCATGGTCGAGAAGTGAGTCCAGAGCTGTGGCCTGGAAGTTGGGATCCTAGCGTTACGTCTCTTAGTAGCCACGACCCTAGTGACTCAGACTGTCTTGGACCTGGAGGGTCCCCTGAGAGCGTTTGGCCCTTAAGCCAGAAACTTAGTGACTCTGAAAAGAGACATGTGGAAACCTCAGTAGATCAAATGTTGCCAGAGGCTCTCCAGTCACTTGTCATTGGCCAGCGGTCGATGTTGCTGGAAGTAGCTTGCAGTCCCAACAGTGTACTGACAACCACCATGCAGGAGTTAACTAAGAACCCCAATGGAGCTCACCGGTGTTCTTTGTGGAATGGGTGTGATTTGGGGACTGGTAAGGGAGTCAAAACGGTATTGGATACCATTGACATGGTGCAGCCTCTTTTTGTTTGGTTGAGTCCTGTATGCGGTCCTTACTCCATAATGCAGAACATCAATCAGCGGTCCGAAGCTCAACGTGCTGAGCTGGCAGAAAAGAGACGTGAGGCCCTCAAGCAGTATGTTGGATGTGCCATCATTTACAGGTACTGTTGCCAGCGTGGAATCCATGTGGGTTGGGAATGGTCACAAACTTGCACAGCATGGAGACTTCCTTTGATTGAAAAACTCAAACAGGAATACCAACCTTACTTTTCCACCGTTAGGGGCTGTCAAGTGAACCTCCGTGATGATGACCAACAGTTCATTTCCAAGGGTTGGAAAGTCATGACCACACATGAGCTCCTTGCCAAACGTTTGGATCTCCCATGTCGATGTAGTCCAGGTACTGTTCATGTTCCTTGTGAAGGGAAACTTACCGAGAGTACTGCATACTATACTAAGGAGTTTGCCAAACGTGTCTGCCAAAGTATTCTCAAGGGGATGTCAACTGCAACTATTCATCGGGAAATCCACCAAGGGAAAACCCCCCAAGGGAATTTTGGTTTTGGGACTGAATGCATGTGTCATGAGGGTCAACACCACGATGCACATATCACATGTGGCCACTGCACTCAGCATGATCGGACGACGCAACCTGAACAGGATGACCACTTGGTTCTTGCGGCCCACAAAGCCCCCGGAAGTAGTAAGTATGAGGGTTTGCCTGTGGAGGAAATCAAACGCAAACTGTACTTACTTCACGCTGCCACAGGTCATGGTCCCATCAAAAACTTAGTTAGAATGCTGAGGCAATATGGGGCCCCCAAAGAGGTTTTGGTTGAAGCTGAGAAGTTTCAATGTTCTGTTTGTCAGGAGCGTAGCCGACCTCAGCCACGGAACCAAGCAACTCTCGAAACCCAACCAAAGAAACTTGAAGTGGTAGAAGCTGATGTGGGTCACTGGGTCCACCCGGATGGAAATCACTACCAGTTTCTGTTGCATGTTGATTCAGGCAGCAGGTTCAAGGTGGCAAGACATATCATCACAGGTAAACGTGACCATGTTACCGCTGCTCAGTTCATCACCACGTTTCGGGAGTGTTGGGTTGAATACTTTGGGAACCCCCGAACTTTAAGGGTTGATCCTGATGGGGCTTTTCGTAGTCATGAGCTGTCCAGTTACTGTGATGCCAACAACATCTTTTTGGATATCATACCAGGTGAGGCCCACTGGAAGCTGAGCCTTTGTGAACGGGGTATCCAAGGGGTGAAAGAACTGTTGTCCAAGATGGCTCAAGATTTTTCCGATGTGAGTTTTGTAGATCTTTTGTCGGAAGCCATTAGGGTTTTTAACTCCCGAGAACAAATCCGGGGGTATAGTCCAGTGCAACACCTGATGGGAAGGGCACCTGATGATGAGGGCCGCTTTTTCGCAGCCCCACGAGCACTGACTGACGACCTTTGCTGTGAAGGTCCTCGAGAAGAAAATGTCCGAAGCCATCAACTGAGACAGCAGGCAGAAATGCGATTCATCGAGTGGACAGGACAGCAAAGACTGTCCAGAGCCCAGAACTCCAAAGCCAAAGTCCGACCGATTTACCATCCAGGTGATTTAGTCTACATCTGGAGACGTCAAGTTCCACTGAAAGAGGCAAAGAACAAGCATGGCACAGGCCGGTTCATTGGCCCAGCTCGGATTTTGGCCACAGAAAGAGAGCGAGATGCAGATGGAGCACTGAAAACTGGGAGCTCCATTTGGCTGGTGAGAGGACGGAGACTGCTGAAATGTTGTGTGGAGCAACTGAGACATGCATCCCAACGGGAACACCTTCTACAAGAACTGTATGACGCAGAGCCTCAACCATGGGATTTTCCCAGGGTAGCCAAAGAGCTTGGGGGCAATGACTATGATGATCTCACCGAGGAACCACCCACTCCGGAAGAGCTTCGGAGAGCAGCAGATCCTGATCAAGAAGTGCAGCCAAGCAAGAGATTGCGACAGAAATCAAGACCACCACCAGGGCAGGAAGTGACTCCAGCCCAAGCAACACCAGACCTTACCACCGGAAGCAGTAGCAGCTCACGACCAGGCCGTAGCCGAAGTAGAGTGGAACGGTCTGGCCCCAGCGCACAGGCCAGTTTTGTGGAAGGAGCTCACTGGACCGAATTGGTACATGACACATTTCCTGCAGAACCGGAGGTCTCAGGTTTTTGGACTGAGCCAACTGCAGCTGTGAGTGTCTCCATTGAGATGCCGAACACCAAGTCACAAACAGAAAAGATCCTGAAGGACCTTCCGGCTTACTTCAACAATACTCTGAAGAAGCGTGCAGCAGTGGAAGTGAGTGAGAAGTATCTGACACCAGCAGAGCAAGAGGAGTTTCGAACCGCAAAAGGGATTGAGGTGTCCAACTTTCTGGCGGCAAAGGCGTTTGAAGCCTTACCAGATCACTTGAAGGTAGATCGGACAAGAGCTGTTCGTATGAGGTGGATACTGACTTGGAAACAAAAGGAAGACGGCACCAGAAAAGCAAAGGCAAGAGCCGTCTTGCTGGGATACATGGACCCGCTGTACGAGCACAGGTCAACCGCTTCTCCAACCACTACACGCCAGACTCGACAAATGCAACTGGCCATAGCAGCAGCATTGGGTTTCACGACAGAAAAAGGAGATGTCACTGGCGCCTTCCTTCAATCACGGCCATATCCAGCTGAACTCACTTGCGTGCCATGCGAGGAGATTTGTGTCGCCATGGGCCTAGAGCCAAATTCAGTAGTTCGGGTCAAAAAGGCCTGCTATGGTTTGGTAGATGCACCTTTAGAATGGTACAGGTCCATTTGTGATTTCTTTCAAAAACTGGGACTCCGACGATTGTGGAGTGACCCTTGCTGTTGGGTTCTGGAGAGAAACAACCAGGTTAGAGGCCTGATTTCAGGACATGTGGATGATTTTCTTTTTTCAGGATCAAAAAGTGATCCCCTTTGGCAGGAGACATGCGCTGCCATCCGAAGTGAATTCAAGTGGTCTGACTGGGAACATGGTAAGTATACTCAGTGTGGGGTCCTGGTAGAGGAACACTCTGATGGAACTTACTCCTTGTCTCAGGAGTCATACATAGATGATCTTAGGTACATCAACTTGCGTGCGCATCGAAGGAAAGAAAAAGGCGCGCCAACTGATGCCTTGGAACAATCACAATTGCGAACACTCTTGGGTGGCTTGAGTTGGGTAGCACAGCAAACAGCACCGCATTTGGCGGCAGAAGTAGGCTTACTGCTCTCTGAGGTAAACCACAGTAGTGTAGACACCATCAACCGTGCGAATCGTTTGTTGGACCAAGCAAAGGGCATGAAAGACCACAAAGTCCGAATCCATAAGATTCCACTGGACAAAATGATGGTGTGCGCCTGGTGTGATGCCGCAGCACACAACAGGCCAGACGGTAGCAGCACTCAGGGGATTGTCGTTGGGATCTCATCCACTGATTTAATCAAGGGTCAATGTGCACCAGTGTCTTTAGTCATGTGGCAGTCAGCTAAGATAGGAAGGATCTGTAGGAGCCCAGGTGCCAGCGAGGCAATTGCGGCAGTGAATGCCGAAGATCTTCTTTTCTTTGCTAGGTTTCAGTTGGCAGAGATGTCAGGTCATAAGGTACATGTCCGACAGGTAAACCATGCAGTCAACACAGTGCCAGGATGCCTGGTCACCGACAGCAGAAACGTGTACGACAAACTGGCTTCTGAGGCTGTAGTTCCTAAGGGAGCGGAAAGACGCACTGACCTGGAGTTGATGAGCTTAAAGGCAGCCCAGCTTAGAAACCAAGTTTTAGTCCGATGGGTCAACAGCGAAGCGCAGTTGGCCAACCCCTTGACTAAGGCCAGAGAACAGAGAGAAGTGATGTTGTTTTATAGAATGAACCACCACTGGAAAATTGTAGAAGACGAAACAATGTCCTCCGCAAAGAAACGTAAACTCAAAGGGCAGTCACCACTGGAAGACACTAAGGTACCAGACACACCACACACAGCCACACCGAGCGTACACTCCACTTACAGGACTAATGGTTCTTGAGGTTGTCTTTCTTGTTTTGTTTTTCGTGTTGTGATTGTTGTTGGTTTTCTTTCTGGCCCGGTGGGGGGGATGCAAGATCATGAGTGATCTGTATGTCATCAACGAGCATCAGCTTGTTTCCAACATAGCGCTCCAACCGAGCTTCTTGGATCGAATGAGCAGGGAAGAAAAGTGAGGACCGCCACGTGTTGCCAAGCCACACCATTTGGTCCATAGGCCCCTCTTTCCAGTTCCAAGTGCTAGGGCACTACTGCTTCTGTGAAGGCTCCCGCATATATATATATATATGTATACTTACTGAATATAGTGATGTTCACTGATTTTACATAGCTATGTTAAATTACCGAAGGTTACGTAGAACGATAGAACGACATCACATGATTCATATGATATTGGGATGATATGTTATCTCCACCATACTCCCACATCATGCCATTTGTCTCCCATATTATGACTCTTATCTACAACGGTGGCGAATTTCATGCTTTATCCCAACCAAATGACAATGTTATGCCATGCTGAATAAGAAAAATGTGAAGGTGGTGATCAACTGATCAACCATCAAAATTCATCCAAACGGGGGGCTTTTCATGGGTTTTCCCACGGTGTTCCCTTCAGGGGACCTGGGAAGCAGCTGCATGGCATTGGGCCAGCTATCTTTGGCCGCTGCTGCCGCTACACCAAAGGCCACCACCTGCACTCACAGGACGGGACTTGAACCAAGAAAAAAAGGAAATTTCTGGAACCACCCAAAAATGATGGTTCAATGGGGGATTCAATCAACAAATTGGGTCTTAAATTCGGATTGACCAAGAAAAGTTGGAGATTTGAGTGAGAGACAGTTGGATTTAACTTCGAAGAGGAGTATTACGGTATCAATATGCGAGTAGGCACCAATCGTGCTCTGATGCTTGGGGCCTCCTAAGGCCCCAAAGGATGATGGGAAGAAACATTGCACATTGCTTTCGGTCACCAAACTGAAAGCGGAACATCTTTAGACTCCAGGACACAAAGGATTACCATAGATGAAACTTGAGAATGTTTTAGGATCAACAAAGCATGTAATCTTCTCTCCCTATTACTGAAACCCCCGCCCACCCCCCAAATGGTAAACACGGTGATCTATTTTTATTAGGGGTATTATTTTGTATTAGGGTGCCCCTAATATTCCAATGAAAGCCCTTAAAACAAAATATTTCAAATTTGATTAAATCCCGTGTTAAAATCTATATAAAATATTGCCAAATACTGGATTTTGAAGCTTTCCCTAATATTCCAAAGAACACCTTAATAATAAAAATAAAGAATAAAACTTGTGAGATGGGACCCTAATAAAAAACATCCAGCTGGCAATCTTAATAGGGGGTTGAACCCATTGTTTCACCAACCTTTTCTCCTATTGATTCTCAATTACCACAATTAAGAATCCAATTGTGCCCAACCAAAAAAAAAGGAAGTGCCACACCAATCCTATTTTTTTTATTTGGGGGAGTTTTAGTAATAGAAAAAAGGGATTGCATAGAATTGAGACTCCTCGCAAATCGACACATAGAATCTGACACTCATGCAGGACTGAATGCCTTGCGGCCTTGTATGGATGACCGTATATATATATATATATAGAAATATGTATATGTGTTTTCTCACCCATAGTTCTTGATCAAGTACCTTACAAATTGTATGCCCAAATGGGCTTGTCTGAACATATGGTACATCAAACTCCCATGGTTGATCATCTTTGTCTTATTAACATAATCATTTGGGGAGCATATCCCATTTTCAGACACGCCCAACTACCCTATATTGTTGATGATATATCCAAGTATATCCAGTAGATCCCCAATAGATGGTAAGTATTCACACTAACATGGGTTATATACACAGTATATTCCAATATCAAGTTGAACTTATATATTATATATTATATTACATACCCCTTTTATATATCAAGTATACCCATTATACAGCCACTTTAATATCATTCCAACCAGAGTCATTGCAGATGCCCTGCTGGTTCCAAGCCACACTGCTTTGCAGCAGATGTTTGTTTGCAGCCAACAGGAGAGCGAAGGCCTGTTACAGGTGACATGAGCAAGACCTTTGCAGGTCTATATTGCATGTTCATATGTATGTATGTATATATATACACATTATATATATATATACAATATATATATATATATACAATATAAATATAAACAATATTATATATACAATATAATATATATATATATACAATATATATATATACAATATATATATATACAATATATATACATACAATATATATATATAATATATATATATATAATATACAATATATATATATTTATATACAATACATATATATATATATATATATTTATATACAATATATATATATATTTATGGTCACCCCTCCCTCCAGGACCTACATTTTCAATTTTCTAAATTTTCATTAAATTTAAGGTCCTGGATCAAAGGGGATGGCCATGTACATTTTTATTGTTAATTTTTAATATCATATGCTTAGCATTATAGGATACACAGTATATTATAAAAGTATATGAAACTTGTGTTTATGATATTTGTGAAGATGAAGCACGGAATGAACATTACATTGTTCTTCATTTCTTGTGGTTGAATGATGAAGCAGAAAACATTGGATGTGTTGTGTCTGTTTTGGCGCAAGCAAACCTAGGCAAAAACATTTTTTTCTTCTCAGATAACAATGCAAGCAACTTGCTATCTTCTATTATATTACCTGTACGTGGAACAGTTTTACAATCTATGTTGTCAAATTCATTACTTAAAGCACTAAGAGACATACTTTTGTAATTAGTTTGGATGCAGTTTTGTAAATCAAGACTTTGCACATAATATTCCTGAGCATAAGCTTTTAATATGCACCAGGTGATCTCTTCCTCCAACCTGTGGCCATCGTTGGCATAGTCCTGCGGAGACTGCGCGCATGGTGGCCCCAACACCTGAGCTGCGAGGTTGGGCCAACATGGCCCAACCGCAACCATATCTAGGCGGGTCCAAATCAACCGTCCCAAAACAATTCAACATTTCTGACAGCTGGGATTCTCAGCTTGAACCTACCTGCCCAAAACAGTGGCAAGTCTACCCTGGCCATTTGTAAACCAGCCATTGGTCAACTCGGTGGTGCTCATGACATCAGCACCAAAGGCATCCATGTCATGGTCACCAGAAGTTCTCGTAACGCCAAGATGCTGATCAAATCAACTTGAAGCCCAGAACTTTGCATGGCTTCATAGATGTTGACCTGCAACAGGCCCCAGTTGGGCTCGGACTAGGCAGGTCAGCTAGGGACTTCAGGCAGAACTTGTGATAGAACTAGTCAACCAGAGTCAGGTCTCACTAAGGTTACACTTCAGTATTGAAATCCAAGACAGGAAATCTCATCAATGTTGGTGGGCTGGGTGGGTCCACCTGCCCGTCCCCAGCCCTACTATTACCATAAATGATCAGTAAAAATCATCCTTCAATATGGCATTGGGTGAATCCTACATTAATGAGATATTGATTGCGATAATGAGGGGAATATAATAACTTGTCACCAACTCTTGTAGAAGTAACAATAATTCACCACATTACCTTTATTAGATGTCATTAGTTTGTAGATGATTTCCCACTAAAAGCCTCCATTTACTTCGTGGATTTCCCGGCTAGCTCCCCAAAAAATCGTCAAGGGACCGACTTTTCCCAGAGCCCGCCAGTTGTGCTGATCACCTGGAGATCAGTGATCTGATATGGGGCAAGTCATGGGGAAACTCACCACTTCTCCATAGCAAACTGTTGAATTACCAGAGGGATCCAGAGGGTACAGTACCTCGAGCATTGGATGGTTCAATTGAAAACATGAAACAAACAACATGGGGAAAATCAGTGATTCACAACAGATCTTAAATGTTTCCAATCTTGGCCCCTTGTTAATTGATCATGATTAGATTTCAATGCCCTGCAAATTGGGACAACAGCCACCCAAGTTGCGATATTGGGGCCAAACATCCAGTATACACTCAGGAAGTCAATGTATATATTATATATATATGCATATAGTATACATATATATATACACGTATATATTATTATTGGTAAATCAATATATATTATATAAAAAAACAAATAAACACATATAATTATATATATACACATATGTCTTGGTAAATCAAACATTCCAATTGGAGTTTTTCAACATATTAATTAGCCAAAGAAAATATTCCTTGGTGTATCACCTTGAAAAACCGCACCATTCAGCGCCAAAATCTTTCCAAATTGGGCTCTTGAATGCTGTAACTGGAAACACATGACACTCAGAATTGCACCCCATGCCAAGACAATTGTGAAGACTAAACCGCTGAACATGTTCAGTGGTAAGCCTGAAAAAACAACTAAATTATGCCAAATCTGTATCCACAAATGACAAATGGATACCCACTGCAACATTCATCCCGTATCTTCTGGACCGGCAAGCCGTGACACCAAGTCAATGGGCCTCTTACCTTTGAGTGCTTTTGTTCCATTCCCCGTGATGTATATATAGCATTATATAGCAGCCCATCATGCCTTGCTGACCAAAACCGAACAACACATTAAATTGTCAAGGGAACTTGGCAGGGTCACATCTTCCAGCCTTTGGTGCGCATAGTAGTTGGAAAATGTCAAGGTCCGAAGACTGCTTGGCAGGCACACGGAATTTAGGCTCTGATTGAAATAGTGGCCAAATGTCAAGGTCTGAAGATTGCTTGGCAGGGTCACGGAATTTAGGCTCTGATTAAAATAGTGGCCAAATGTCAAGGTCTGAAGACTGCTTGGCAGGATCACATGTTCCAGGCTCTGGTTAAACCTGCTGCCAAATGTCAAGGTCTGAAGACTGCTTGGCAGGTTCACGGAATTTAGGCTCTGATTGAAATGGTGGCCAAATGTCAAGGTCTGAAGATTGCTTGGCAGGGTCACGTGTTTCAGGCTCTCGTGAAACCTGTCACCAAATGTCAAGGTCTGAAGACTGCTTGGCAGGATCACATGTTCCAGGCTCTGGTTGAAGCTCTTGCCAAATGTCAAGGTCTGAAGACTGCTTGGCAGGATCACATGTTCCAGGCTCTGGTTAAACCTGCTGCCAAATGTCAAGGTCTGAAGAACTGCTTGGCAGGTTCACGGAATTTAGGCTCTGATTGAAATGGTGGCCAAATGTCAAGGTCTGAAGATTGCTTGGCAGGGTCACGTGTTTCAGGCTCTCGTCAAACCTGTCACCAAATGTCAAGGTCTGAAGACTGCTTGGCAGGATCACATGTTCCAGGCTCTGGTTGAACCTGCTGCCAAATGTCAAGGCCTGAAGACTGCTTGGCAGGTTAACGGAATTTAGGCTCTGATTGAAATGGTGGCCAAATGTCAAGGTCTGAAGATTGCTTGGCAGGGTCACGTGTTCCAGGCTCTGGTTAAATTCCCAGCCAAAATTCAAGATCTGAAGATTGCTTGGGAGGGTTACTTGTTTCAGGCTCTGGTTGAACTTTCTGCCAAATTTTAGGGTATGAAGACCGCTTGGCAGGGTCACTCGGTCAAGGCTGCCAACAAAAGCATCGCCCAGTCTTAAATGTTCAAGGCTTTGTATAATATGTCGCAACGGCCCGTTGGTTGCTGTCCCTTCTATCCGTGTCACCCCCTCTATTGGAAGATCTCCCTTAGAGAACGGTAGTTCTTGAACAGCGCACGATGCGGCATAAAAATCTGTTGGAACATAAGTACAAGAGAGTGCTGCAGCCTCGCCCACAATACCTTGCTCCTGCAATGTTTGGTGTAGCGTCACAGGGGAGTCGAGGTGATGCAGCTTGAGTTTTCCACCTTTCTTGGGAGGAAGTCGTGCTGAAACCTTTCGGTACACTTCCAGACCGGTACAGGAACAACTGAGATTCAACATGCATCCTTCACCATTTAGGCATCGCACAGAAAGGTCGATCAAGTCTGAGCTGCGGCTTGGCTGCACATAGCCACCCGCACCACTTCTAGCCATCGGGCCATACACCGGACTTTGCCGGCATGTATCTGGCTGAAATCTGAGTTTATGACTAACAAGCCTGAAATGCCCTCTTCTGAACAATCATATATGGTGACATCGTCGTGGGGTCGTTCTAATTCGCAGTGCATCCTTGTCGAGTGGCTATTTGACTTAAGACAAATGTCCGCATCGAATGCAGGCAATAGATGGCTGCCGGCAATAGGGCTTGGACATGGAGGTTTCCATTTCCACCGTGTCATGGGAACGGGATGTTGGTAGTGGTAGTCCCATGATCCAAATGGCTTTGCAAACCACAGCTGGTACAGTTCACCAAACCCAGAAACATCCAGAAATTATGGTGTCCCATGGTGTCCCGTTGTTTTCAAGGCAAAAACGGGACAGATTGATTGTCTTTTTTACGGAAAGGTGGGATTTCCAAACGCATCAATTTGAAACCACCAACCCAAACCACTAGTGTGAGGGCTGGAGAGTTCAAGCAAATTCTTGCTGAGATCGCTGTTTTCATCTGTTTTCTACAGGTTGTGTTGCTGACAACAGCACTTTTTGATCTTCTTGGTTATATACAGTAATTCAATGTAATTCATGTATATTTCTATTCACTTAAGATTCCGATTGTAGCAGTTTTGGTCATTCTAAACCCATTGATGGCGTCAACTCCCAATTTGAAGCAACTGAGGGCACCAAGCCATTTTCTGTTCAGAGCAATCTCGATTGATGGCTGGTATATCAGATACATCTGGTGACCTCCAATTTAAACTGTTCCTGCGTACTTTTTGTAGTTGAATCATGTTGAATCACTATTTTTGCTCGTGATTTCCGTAGTTTTGTTGGTTGAATCCTCAATTTTTCTTGGTCAACCATTCTCGACTAGTGACATCCTTGCTGGTTGCTTTTGGAGTGATACCTTGATGTCAGATCTCCAGGCGTTACGCTCACTAGTTGCAACGATGTTGCAACTATCCAAGAGGATCTCAACATCCCGATCCTGAACTCAACCGCACATCTAGATGTGTGTAGATGTGTGTAGATGTGTCTAATGTTTTCTTCACAAATACCACTTCTTTGGAGGTTGCTGTTAAATATCTGCATGAGGCTATCTTTTGAAGCCCCAACGTTGGTGAAACTTGTGCTCTCCAAGTGGCTGCATTGTAAGCTGCGGTGGACGTCTCCAAACTCCAAAGGTGCATGGATCGAGCCTGGTGGAGACGTAGAGCCATCATTTTCCACGGATCGCACCGTTGAAAATGGCCATTAATAGTGGATTTTCCTATTAAAAATGGTGATTTTCCATAGCTATGCTAGTTTACCAGAGGGTAGACATTCTTAGACATTCAGATTTTACACATCACTCAACTTGAAATATGTATATACTGATATACTGCATAATATCTATAATTATATATATATAGTGGTTTACCAGTTTTGACTCACAGCATATGCATGCATATCTGATAATACTCTCTGCTAATGAAACATGGCTGTCTGGAAAATCCCAAGTTTCAATGGGAAAATACGGGGTAATCATCGATAAACGGGCAGGATTTTGGCCGAGGTTCAAGCTGCAAAGCCAACTGCCATTGGGCACTCTTCTCACATGCGCTGATCCTCGGAATGCCGTGATTGAAAATAGGAGACACTCCGAGCCCAGAAAATTAGAAATTCCCTAAGCAGATCCAGCTTGTTGGGAGTTTTCATGAGTTTTCAGCACAAAAAAATGCTGGATCATGCTTGATCAATATATATATTTCTTGGGACCAAACATGAACATCTTAACAATAAGGCATCAAGGATCACAGAACAGAGCAGAATTTCATCTGGCTGCACCTGGCGCTGGACAGGTGTTTTTGACTTTGAATCTGGCAGGGTCGGGCCTCATTGACTCACAACATCAATGATTTTTTTTGTATCAAACCATCCATGTGCTAATTATATTTCTGCTTTCTGGGCCAATACACGCCAATAAGTTTGAACATCTTTCAACAAACAATTTCTACCCATGTGGTGGCCAACTCAGCGCAAAGTTGACTTCTTGAAATCATCCTAAAACATTACCACAGAAAACCACACAGAAAACCAGCAAAGAACATCAACGATCCCCGCAGTTCGCTCACCCCTGGCGGTACCTGCTGCTCTTGCGCCCGCTTCAACAGCTGCAGGGCATTTGCCCAATCTCCCAAGCCCCGCAAGGCGCTGCAAACGCTGCTGTAGCTGACCACACTGGGCCGTGGACCTTTGGTTTCCATCACCTGCCATTGAGGTCAAACCCAGGAGATTGTCAGGGTCCTCAGACCGCTAAGAACGAAATGATGCGGAGACCATACAGGTGTTTTTTGTTTTTTTGTTGATTGTATTTCCAAATGGCCATACAAATTGGATTCGCTATAAACCTGTTTGCAAAAACTAATCACTGAACAGCATTGAGAATAAAAAACTCAGGTGCTATCCCCAACAGCTTGAAAGCTTCTGCGGTTTTGCCATAAAATAAGTGCTTTTCTTATGCCATAAAAATTAAACGCTTATGCCATAAAAATTAAGTGCTTATGCAATAAAAAACATCGGAACCCTTTGGAATTTCACAAAACGTCTGCACCAGAACCCTCCGGAACAAGGTATCTGCACCGGAACCCTCCGGAACCTCACCAAGCATCTTCTCCGCCAAAACCCTCCGGAACCTCACAAGGTCTCTGCACCGGAACCCTCCAGATCCTCACAAGGTATCTGCCCTGGAACTCCGGAACCTCACCGCGCATCTTCACCTAGACCCTCCGGAACATCATCATGTAGCTGCACTGGAAACTTCCGGAACCTCACCAGGTACCTGCACCAAAACCCTTTAGAACCTAACCAAGTACCTGCACCGGAAACTTCCAGAACCTCACAAGGTATCTGCACCGGAACCCTCCCGAACCTCACAAGGTATCTGCAGCAAGTATCGTCACCGGAACCCTCCGGAACCTCACGGGGTATCTGCACCAGAACCTGCGGAAGCTTGTCCAGAACCTGGTGTTGAAGCTGCACCGGATCGCACCGGAGCTAATCTGGGCTAAAGACCCCATAGCAAAGTTTTGCTGTTGGGGAAATACAACTCAACATGCTGGCGGAAAGCATTACTGTAGATTTCTTTTTTGGGATGCATCGCCCACACCAGAATTAAACACATTGGCATCGTCTTACTGCCATCGAACATTTTGAAAATTGGAACTGTTTTCCAGTAAAATGCCTTGTAGATTGATATCTGGGTGCCTCCCCTGTCCATTTTTGGTGATGGGCTACACATTGGCGAGCCAGGTCTTTCGGCCTGACCGTAACCCCTACAACTAGCCACACCTGGCCTGAAGTAAATACAAAGTCTGTTGCCACTGTCCCGCGGCGTCGCAAACCTTGAATGGCTGGATCACGACAAAAAACATAGTGGCTTCCTAAAATAGGGGTACCACCAAATCATCCATGTTACTAGGATTTTCCATTATAAACCATCCATTTTGGGGTACCTCCCGTTTTAGGAAACCTCCATAAAGTCTTTCGCAACTGGTCACATGAAGCGAAGCATGTTGGAATGATTTCCACTAAAGGACAATTTGTGGGGAGGTCGTGAGCGTCATAACTTTCTCAAGTCATGGTCAAAGACATGATCCTGAGGCAAGGATCGTCTTGCACCTCTCATTCTGCATCCACACATCATCCGGGCAAACAGAGTCCATTGAGTCCATTCCAGATTGTTGGCAACGGTATATCTTGCATGATATTATGTGATGAAAACTCAATCTGTTGATTAAAAGCAACCGACAACGATTTACACATAATACTCTTAGACTTGTATCTGTTGTAGCCATATTCTTGAGTCATTGCGCAAAAACCTTGGCTTGGTTGTGGCTTTGCATTCATATTGCTGCATGCTTCAGCTGTGAACATTTGCAATGCAATTTGCTGATGATGGTGGTGATCTTCAAGTTACCCTCGAAAACTCATCATCTATTAGATATCCTAGTCTATAAGTGATTTTTGACTGATTTTCCCATTAAAACCTCCATTTGTAGGGTATTTTCCAGCCAGCCACGTTTGAATACCGGAGGGTCCATCTGCCCCGCTGCCCAACTCATCCCTATGCTCAGCCACTGCCATGGCGACGTTGTAACATATGGTGTCCAGTTCCACTCGGCAGTCGCCTGTGGACCATGGGGACATCATGGGGATATCTTGGGGATATACCCTATCAGAATGGAATAACTGTAATTATAGTGGAGATATGATGGGAGAATCTATACATACATATATATATATATACACATTATACATATATATATATATATATACAATTATATACATGCATATACAATCATATACATATATATAATTACAAAATTATTCCATATTTACTAATTATCTATATAATTATACTGATATACGCAACCACCAAGTGAGATATCATCTGATATCTGGATAGAATGGGATATAGCACGATACAACCAATCCGGGAAGATTTCAATGGCAAAATGCCTTGGAATCACCACCTGATGGCACCTGCCATCGCCAAGTAACCCGCCCTTTGAAGGCCGTGCAAGGCATCGATCCAACGCTTGTCTCTGCGACACTGGGACAGCAACTTCCTCAGCTGAGGCTTCAAAACATGCATATTGAAACCAAATCCATCATAAATGGTACTTTTAAGCATGAACATTAGTTTTGACCCTGCGTCAACAATGTAAAAACCTTTCGTTTGTGGAGAATTTCACCACTGATCAAATCCAAGCAACATACAGCCCCTGATGGCATCTCGAGGCCTGATTTTCATTGCCAAGGGCCAGCCGGATTGCGGACAAATTGACCCTTCAAGGCCTTGTATCTGGAAGTCTAGGGGAAAAATCAAGAAATGGTAGGGAATGGGGGATCCATTACAACAAGAATTCCTTGAATTTTTATCTTGGCACTTGGCACTTCTTTGCTTTCGTCTTTGGTCGATGTAGATATCATATGATTCCAATGGCTGTACCTGAGAAACATTGAGAAACCTTGTGTTGATGATCTGAATTTGGCGAGAATCCAGTTCTCAGTTTCAACCCATGGGTGGCCACCCCCAGCCCCTCGAGACTCGAGACCCCCCCCAAGCCCTGCGCCTTGCACCGGCCAAGGCCGGGCGCCCGGAGGCCCCGGACGCCTGGGCCTCGGGCATTGGGCCCAGCACGGCCCATGGCCGCAGTCATGGCCATGGCGCCCACACGGCGTCCACAGGACCAGTTGGGAGGTCTGGGGAATTCATTCGATCCATTTCTTTTGATTCTTGATTTGGCTGTCAGGAAATCGAGCCCCAAATCATCCAAAAATTTGTCGTGCGCAGTGGCAAAACGACTTACTGTAGCTCAATTTTCGGAAACACGGATTTGGTTCGTATTTCATGGTTGAAACATGTTGAAACTAATAGTTAGCCGCCCAAGAAAAACATAAACCAACCCAATGGTAGAAGGAACTGAGTTTTTTGAGAAACTATTCATGACATTGAACAATACAATACCACTGGATTTGTCCACAAGACCCTTGGGTGGTGGTAGCAGTGTCTTTTCACCTGGAGAGGTCCCCAATGCCGAATATCAACAGGAACCAGTCAAGGCTGCGAGGAAAGCAGATCCGTTCAGATTCCCTTCATGTCCCCTCGTATGTTTCTCTCCCCAAACATTTTTGTTCTTCACTGGCTGGGATATCTTGATTGTCAGGTGGTTTAACTCAAATCATAACATCTCAACTTGGGAAGAAGATGGAAACGCATCGGTTGAGGTTTCTGTCTATACGGGCCGTGGGTTGGAATGTGGAAGTGGATGATAATTCTTCAGAATTGAGGGGCGACATGGGGCAACCCATTTTCAGACAAGACAAATAAATATCTCACCCAAACGAAAAAACATACCCTCCAAATTGGAAGTTGAAGGAACATCTTGGGATGCGGTGGGAATTATCGCAAGCAAACGACGTGAAGTGGTAAAGTCTTCCACTTTAATTACTCCACTCTCAAGCTAATTTATCCAGAGGGTATCAAATCGTGTTTGGGAAGTCTCAAAACATGTCATGAAATCACTTCATTTTTTTTGCTGAACCTGTCCTGCTCAACTTTACATGCAGGAATTGGCGTTCTGTCCAGCTAACGACAGCCAGCCTGGCGCACAGGGCCCTGGCTATGCCCAGGGCGTGGCCCTTGTCGCCAAAAATCATCCAATGTGCGCAGCTCCAATGAGCCGCAGGGGTCCACAATCCTAGGCACTGTGAGCCAACCTCGTACGGGTCGGATCTGGTGGACGCTGAATTCACCTTGGCCAATTGGATTGGGACCTGGTAGGGCCGGGTAATGAGGGGGTCCATGCCCCATGAGGAAACATTGCTGCAACCGTTGGCAGGATGATCTCCAACCAAAACTTCATTGTGACTTATGGCAGGATCACCACTTCCCAACTGCCAAATCACCACTTCCCAACTGCCAATTAACGATCCAAAATATCATCCGCAAAGCATCAGCAGCAGCATATTGTTTTACACAAACAAATTGCACACCCCACGACATCACATGACAATGAGGTCCGAGAGTCATATTATGAATTATATTTGACGCACACGTGATGGAAAGGCCTGAAATCATCCCAATTTGTCATAACCTTATGCCCAACATTGCCCAACTCATATCCAAGGCGAGAGGTGAAGCTGAGCCTCCCAGCTGTCTCAACAACCTCCAAGAGATGCACGGCCCAAGTCCTGGGAAGAAATCACCACTGGATGATCTTGGCTGGTTTTTTTCTGGTTGAACGAGGGTGGCACACCGAACCAAACCAGGTCAATCGATCCAGAATTGTTGGCTTTGGGATGACCAGGGTTCCTATGCAAAGACCATCAAAGACCCATTCTCAAAGTGTCACAAACCAAGCTACTGTCAATAACTCGTAAACCCTGGTCCCATAGCTGACATCAACTCGGAAATGACAGAAGGGGATGGCAAAATGTGGTAAGTTCCAACTGTCCTGCTGAAATGCTTGTCGCATCGCTTCTGCCAGTGGCCGAGAATCCTGAGTTACTCCAGAATTGGTTAAAATTTGAAGTAACAGAAAAGTCCCAAAAGTCACATAGAAAACACCAGCCTTGCAACTGTTTCCAGAAATTCCCTCCAATTGAATGGAAAACAACATAGGATTCACGCATATTCCCACAGTATCCTGATTTGTCCTCATAATGACCCACCGTCCAGGCACTAGCGGGAAGCGATGTCCATGAGGATGTCGCAGAATCCTGGACTCTTGGCACGGTTTGGCAAGGTGTGTGTGTGTGTGCACGTGTGCGGATATGTTACAATATGTATAAATATGTTACAATTTTATGATTATTCACATATAGAATTACGCAAAGCTGATTGAAGGCTAATTGTGACTGTATCCTCTATGTTTAGGGGGGCGAGGTTGTTGGAAATTTTGAGGTTGTGATGAGCTATCCAAATGAGTACAACCAACAAGAACGGGATCGATATGGGATTGGCTCAGAATCAGAATGCTGAACTCCCACAATTTATGGCTAATTGGATGGTTGACCACTAGAAGTGGTTCAACCCCAGAAAGATTATTGGAAGGTTAAAGACTAAAACTTCTGGCCCCTTCAAGCCCTCAATATTCCAACCCAGGCTGCTTGACAGGGCACTGGCTGGCATCCACGCTGAACCAGTCCTGTCAGGATGATCCCACAAAGATGTGCAAAGAACGGAGATTTCGTGGCCCCAAGGCAGGTCCAAAGCTTTCTGATCAAATTAGCGCTGCACATTTTGTGAGATGAACCCTCCTGCCTGCGACCTCTGAAATTTGACAACTCGGGATCATCAAGTCAATTTGCCATTTTCTTCCTATGTTTCCATGGCTTTTTGCCCCCAGAGGCCCCCAAAAGCGGGGTCCCAACTGGAGAGCCTTGGCCAAGGTCAAACTGCCACTCTTGTCATCATCCAGCTCTCCCAGGACGTGCACGGACTGCAGCTCGACAGCTTTCAAGTCCTGGAGGCGGCTGAAGCCATGAATTTCATCCAATTTCTAGGTGGTGCAACGCCAACAATAGATACTGTAAACTCTGTGTCAGATTTTTTCTAGATATTGATGAATATTTATACTTAATGTTCGGAATCGCAAGTTCAGAGGCATATAGAGGCATATTGCCTATACATACTATACCTGTAAAGATCTGTATTCAAGAGTGCTAATTCAGTTTCTTCCCTCGCATTGTGTGCTCCGACAGCAAGAGCTGACAGCATTTCCATAGTGCAAACTCTACTAGGTCCCAAATCAAAAATAAAGCAAGCGGCAATAATTCTCGAATAAGTCCCACATATTGTTTTTTTTCTCCATTTTTGGGATGATGTTCCCTGGATCTCCACCCACTCCGGCACCTTGGACTTGGATCTGGCGAAGCAGCAGCCAGCGTTTTCGTCATCAGGTGGGATGCCACAGACCGAGACCAGCAATCGCACGGACGGCACCTGGGCGGTTTCATTGGGATTTCTTTGGGGAATTTTGGATCAGTCTGATAATTTGATTACCCGGTACCCAAACCTGTAGGATTTGATATGAGTACTACTTAATCTATCTATTTATGACCTTTACCATCCAAACCATTCGATTCTTTGCTATGATGATATGATGCCTATATGGTGGAGCATTGGCCGCCTATATGATGGATATGATTACCTTCTATGATATTTCACAATGTTTCATCCACATTATTTCTATTTGATTTTTGGAGAGTGTTGTGAGGAGTCAAACATATTCACAGCTTTACAGTAAACTTCACACCATGGGCTAGTCATCTAATACGACACCCAGTTGAGGTCCCACAATCCCATGGGCTGACAGATCATCTCTCCATATTTTCATGGTTGGCCAAGATTTCAGGATCGGCTATTGTGAAATCGCCATTTCGCTGGTGAAATACAGGTGGTTCCAATTGAAATTCCCATTTTTCGCCATTGCGCTCACAGTTTTTGCTACTGAAATTGCCAGGTTTGTTCCAGCCAGGCCACATCGGAGAGTTCCTCTTTCAGCTCCACACAGGATGCTTTGCCAGCTCCCTGCATGGCTGCCACGAGCATGGTGCCACAAGCGGCACCTTCGGAGAAACCCAGCAGCACGTCGAAGGGCCCTTCGCGACCTTGGGATGGACATTCATGGGTTGGTGGGCTTTCGATCCATCAAAATCTATCAAAACTAGATTTTTAACCAAAGGAAATGATCCACAATGAAGTGTTGGATGGTTTTGGACCAAACACAACATGGAGTTTTGACCAACCCAAATGAGGTTTTGACCCACGAACATGGGGAAACAGTATAACCAACCAAACACTGCAAAAGATTACCACCGTGGATGTATGACAAATATAAAGGGCACATAACCTGCAAACCCCAAAGTTGAATGTGGAACAGAAATGAACAAAACAAAAACCAACAGGTCTGACCAACATCTCATGGCAACCACGTGTGATAATATCAGGACCTGAAAGCTAAAGATGGCTCATGGGGGATCATGGAAGACTCAACGAATAGGCGCCGGGTTTTTACAAACTCCCAGGTGAGGTTGGATTGCTATAAAATGTCAGATGTTTCTGATGTCTCCAACCCCTTTGAAAGTACACAGATGCGGGCCATGTCAAGGGGATCTACCTTCTCTACCATCCAATACGGGTCCCAATCGAATCAAAAACATAAGAACGGACCATGATGTACCTGCTTGGCGATAAATTTCTGATTCGGAAAGTGTCCCAAGTCATGGATACAAATCACCTTTGCCGTGACAAAAGCTGTCAACTTTCAGATATTTGTTGGTCACGATTTCAACGGCTATATTTTGTTGCTTATTCTTAATGTGTGTTGGTTAAACTATATCTTGTTGTTAGTTAAGTCCTCACAATTTTTTAGTATGAAATCAAAGGTCCCTTGGTCACTGGCGCGAGAAAATATGGGATGGCAGGTCCTCTTGCGAAACATAACCCATATCCCCATCTAATCGGGAAAATCTGGACTTGGGTCAATATGGAATGCGGACACCTCCATGGGAAATCATTTTCACACGCTCCCACACCCAATTTTTCAAGTATATAGTCATCTTCAAACAAAATCATCATCCCCATCCCACCTTCCCGTCATCCCATCCCCAACATCCCACCAACAGTGTGTCTGAAAATGGTGGGTTGCCCACCCATCTTTGGCCATTAAACTATATTACACTAGGGGTAACGCCTATGAAAATATGATGGTTAATTGCGGGATTTAAGGATTACCGTCATCCCCCCAAATCATGATCATCCTCAACATCCAATGGTAAGTCGATGGTTATTGGGTATCCCCTGGTATTTTGACGGAGCTATGGAAAATTGCCCGTTTGTAGATGATTTACCTACCAAAATATAGCCAAATCAGTGGTTGCTATCATCTCCCCCATCCAACATCCAACCGGCAGCAAGTGACGCATGTGATCGGCCACATATCGCACGGCGGCCAGCTGTCCAGCTTTGCCATCCTTGGGAGTGTTGCTGTGGTGTTTTGCTGCAGGTTTCTCATCCCAACAGTTCCAAGGATAAGAGTTGCAACCACAAAATTCAAGGCATCGTTTGTTTGATTATTTTTTAAAGGAGCAGGGTACTGTAATGTACATTAATGTACTGCATATTTCGGGAAACTTTTCTAGCCACCTAATAATTCCAGTAACTTTAGAAATGTTTAGCCGCGTAATTCGTTTTTATTAGCCACCTAATGGCATTTAGTATAATTTACCCATCCATGAAATTGTGCAATCATAGAGTACATCTAGGGTTCCTTTTTTTTTGAACAACAAGGCGTTCAAATTGTTTTTCCCTTTTTTTGTTTTTGTTTTTTGTTTTCTTGCCCATCAAACAGGGGACGGAAAAGGTTTGCGTATGTATGTTGCTGGTTTGTTTTTTTTCCGTCAAAGGGAAATTCAAGCCGGTACAGTAGACTGTAATAAAATGGGCAGGGTCTCCGGTAAAAACTACCGTGCGCATCGCCTTTTTGGTTACAATCAATTAACCCCTATGATTTTTAAATTGTTTTTTGAAAAGGTAAAATCAAAAAGGAAAAGTCATCACTTGGAGGCAATTTGTTAGGAATTCCTTTTTGGATTTTGTTTGTTTTCGATGGTGTTTTTTTTTGGTGTTTTTCCAAGCCTGTCTAGTAGCCATTTTGCTGCTGCAGCACATGATTCAGATGCTTCTGCAGCTGTTTCTATCCTTTTCTGGGATTGTATAGCGATGGGGGCTCTTTCTTGATTTTTGAGGTCTACGTGGTGCCATGATGGTGCTGAGGTAGCGGAATTCTGATTCGCGGGCTGGTAGTATCAGATCGGTTGATATACATACATGCATATGCATATATATATATATATACTATGTTTGAAGTCCTTTGAAGAACTTATTGGTTTCTTTCTCTTTTTTTCTTTATATATATATATATATATATCATACATAATCAGATTTCAATTTACGTAAACAGAGGGACCAATAAAAGACACAAAATGTCAAATATATCGATGATCCTACGGGTGCACATACACGGAGATGCACTCATACCTCATACACACACACATACACACACATACAAATACTATGCGGATAGACCCAGAGACCCCATGTCGGTTCCCAAAGCCGTCCTCAGTCTCGGCCTTTTCCTTCTCCTGACGGGGGAAACCGTGCGGGAATGTGCCGTGTGAAGAGGCCAGTGGATGGGGATTGGGGATGTCGCAATCTTTAGCGAAGTGGAATGGCCACTACATCCTTCGATCTATATCATGGTGTACAGTCAATGTTTTCGGGGTGTCCAGGATGTAAAGACCGGGCTTTTAATATATACAACTAGTCTTGCCAAATAGGAATTTCGAATGCACAATCTTGAAGTTGCGCACCATTGCTTATAATTAAGTATAATGGTTTGAAATGTCGTTAGATGGAAGATGGAAGGTTGCCTTTAGCGAATAATTATATAACTGATGTGGCTCGTGGTCATCCCGGGCCCCAGCTGCACTCCCCGGCCTACGCCTCCAAGTGCGCCACCAATTCCCGCACGAGGCGGGCTCCTTTTCGGCCACGCACTCGGGGCGTGGTGCCGGCGCACGACTTTCAAGCACCGCCGAGCTGCCTTCCCCAGCCGCTTCTTGACGCGGCGGACACGGAGGATCTCGTGGACGGTCCCGCCCACGATCTCCTTCGATGTGAATCAGATCAGGGCGGGTCCAATTTAAGGGGTCTAGAATTATACAGATGGGCATAGCTAGTAGAGGCATACACACACATAAAAATAAATAAACATTAATAAATAAATAAATAAATATATATATATCTGTGTGTGTTGATATTTACATAAACAGTATATCTACTGTAGGTGCGTAACCTTTTTTCTTTTTTTTCCGATTTTTTCTTTTCTATTGCATCCACCGAGATGTGATGCACATCAAAAATGGAAGGCTTTGGAAAAGGCAAAAGGGAAGGCTTTGGAAAAGGCCAAAGTTAAGGCTTTGGAAAAGGCCAAAGTGAAGCCTTTGGAAAAGGCCAAGGTGAAGGGTCTGGAAAAGGCCAAGAAGATGGAAAAGGCCAAAAAGGAAGCTTTGGAAAAGGCTCAGGAAAAGGTGGTGCCAAACACTTTCCAAAACCTTACATAGATTCAGGTCTGCTATATAAAGTTTTGGCAAAACAAGGTGTTGGTTTTGAAAAACCTGGGCAGCTATGAGCATGTCTCCAAAGCCAATCGTCCTTGCCCAAAAGGGTTAGCCCACACCATTGGACTCTGGAAGTAAGTGCTGAGACTTGAACCTTCTGCAGAGGTTCATCCTCAACCTCTGAAGACACTGATCAGCCTGCAGGCTAAGAGGCCACAGCCGACCTCAAGCTGTGGCCAGGTGTGGGCTAACCTGTTTTTTCGATTGCTTCCAAGCTGCTCTCGCTCTGCCTTCATCAGCTCCAAGGTTCTTCCGGCCTCCTGTCTCATCCTCATCGAAGAGTATGGCTGCTGATAAAGATGAACAGGGATATGTGAGCGACAGCTTTTGATTATCACATGGCTGAAGTAAAGCGTTCCCCCTGCATCATTTTTGGAAAATTTATTTATATTATAAATGGTCACTGGTGGTCCTTTGCGGAAAATGAAACTTCATGATCATGAAAAGACATGCGAATAATAAACAAACGTCGTTTTAACGGTTCCCCCTACATTGTGCTGCCCTTAAATGTGGATACATGCCTTCACTACAGTAAATAAATGCAGCTGCTTATGTGGGTATGGAACAAGCAGGTGCCCTGAAATTGGACGGTGTGATATTAAACATGATTGAAATCTGCAGGTTGTTGGCACCATAGTTTTGATCCAAACCAGTGTGTCAGTGGCTTGTTTGTACCTCTGTTGTTATGGAGTTGTCCTTAATTTTGTCAAGGCACGCGTTTCGATCCAATCGGCGCTGCAGCTCCACATTCCTGACAACGGTTTGGCTGTGAAAAAAATACTGACACCAAAGAGGAAAACATATCAGCATGCTGTGCAAGGAAAGACACTAAGACGACACTATCAGACCAGTCACTCTATTGTCTTGTCTCGAGCTTCGCTAAGCGCCTTGTCGGTCCTTGGCTATCAGGACTGCAGAATTCAACCATGAAATGTCGATCATCCGATCAGTCTGTAGAAGGGAGTCTCTGGCCACAGGATTCTGAATGATTTGAATTAAGCGAAATTCTTCCAATGTCAAAAGATGTCAGACAAATCATATCAAATCGTGTCGGATCATAACCATGCACATAGTCCATGGACAGTTCATGTCGTTCTTTTGCCTAGGCACTGACGTTCCCTTCGCTTGACCGTGGCCTGGAGCTCCATATTCCTTGGAGAGTCAGCTACATGAATGATGAAAAGAAGGTCTAGACTTAAAAGCCAAGTTTGGAAGTTTGGACCTCATGACTTTTTGAAGTATGCCGGCATAGACCCCAAATAGCCATAATGGTGACAGCCTGACACCCTAGCAGCAACATGTACTAAACATATCAGCACGCTGTGCAAGGAAAGACACTATGTTTCACTTTGTGTAGATAATGGGAAGACGACGCTATCAGACCAGTCACTCTATTGTCTTGTCTCGAGCTTCGCTAAGCGCCTTGTCGGTCCTTGGCTATCAGGACTGCAGAATTCAACCATGAAATGTCGATCATCCGATCAGTCTGTAGAAGGGAGTCTCTGGCCACAGGATTCTGAATGATTTGAAATAAGCGTAATTCTTCCAGTCAAAAGATGCCAGGCAAATCGTATCAAATCGTGTCGGACCATAACCATGCACATAGTCCATGGACAGTTCATGTCGTTCTTTTGCCTAGGCACTGACGTTCCCTTCGCTTGACCGTGGCCTGGAGCTCCATATTCCTTGGAGAGTCAGCTACATGAATGATGAAAAGAAGGTCTAGACTTAAAAGCCAAGTTTGGAAGTTTGGACCTCATGACCTTTTGAATTATGCCGGCATAGACCCCAAATAGCCATAATGGTGACAGCCTGGCACCCTAGCAGCAACATGTACTTACATGACACCATGGCACCCTGGCACCACGACACCCTGCTTCGAAAATGTACACACAGCACCCTTCCTACATTGGAAGTCTGAACCCCAATAGCTTTCAACTATCTGGGGAACACCAATCGAGTGAGCGATGTTCTGAAGTAGTTGTAGCTAAGGCTCTCCTGGCGCGATTGCGCCACATCGCGCTCCAGGGCACGCTTGTCCCGCCGGCGCTCTTGGCACGGCTGGCTTTTTTTTTTCCCGGCATTGCTGCCGCCTTGATCCAAAAGTCCATTGCGAAATGCTAGCTTGTTGTCAGCAAGCTGTGCATGCTACGTTGAATCGGCTTCTCAACGCCAAAGAACAAGAATGAAAAACCAAGTTTGCATTAATCTCAGACTGCTGAACCAAGTTTTGGCTATCGAGCAATTTATAATAAAAGGGCATGTCATGGATTCAATTGAAGGCTCAAAGGTTACTATCAAAACTTGTAGACAACTGAGGTCACTGTTGTTGGTCGAGTGCTTTGAAGCAGAAAAATTGGGGAGAATGGAAAGAATCTCTTGCATCCTCTTCCATGTGAGGAAGCTGGGGAGAGAGGG